CCCCTCTACTCTCTTGTATTGGATTTAGTTTCCCCTTTGAAGTTATCTTATCGGATTGAGTCTTTAAAGATTTCAGAACACTTGATGTATGTCTTGCCATGCGTATCTATGGTGACAATGGGATACCACGTGATTCACTTGATGTATGTTTTGGTGATCAACTTGCCGGTTCCGCCCATGAACCTATGCATAGGGGTTGGCACACGTTTTCGTCGTGATTCTCCGGTAGAAACTTTGGGGCACTCTTTCAGGTCCTATGTGTTGGTTGAATAGATGAATCTGAGATTGTGTGATGCATATCGTATAATCATGCCATGGATACTTGAGGTGATATTTGAGTATCTAGGTGACATTAGGGTTTTGGTTGATTTGTGTCTTAAGGTGTTATTCTAGTACGAACTCTAGGGCTGTTTTGGTTGATTGGAAAGAATAACTTTGAGGTGGTTTCGTACCCTACCATAATCTCTTCGTTCGTTCTCCGCTATTAGTGACTTTGGAGTGACTCTTTGTTGCATGTTGAGGGATAGTTATGTGATCCAATTATGTTATTATTGTTGAGGGAACTTGCACTAGCGAAAGTATGAACCCTAGGCCTTGTTTCCTAGCATTGCAATACTGTTTACGCTCACTTTTACCACTTGTTACCTTGCTGTTTTTATATTTTCAGATTGCAAAAACCTATATCTACTATCCATATACCACTTGTATCACCATCTCTTCGCCGAGCTAGTGCACCTATACAATTTACCATTGTATTGGGTGTGTTGGGGACACAAGAGACTCATTGTTATTTGGTTGCAGGGTTGTCTGAGAGAGACCATCTTCATCCTATGCCTCCTACGGATTGATAAACCTTTGGTCATCCACTTGAGGGAAATTTTCTACTGTCCTACAAACCTCTGCACTTGGAGGCCCAACAACGTCTACAAGAAGAAGGTTGTGTAGTAGACATCAGGATGATGCATTACAGAACGAGTAAAGAGATTTGCCGGTAATGAGATTGAACTAGGTATGAAGATACCGACGATCTAATCTCGGGCAAGTAACATACCGATGACAAAGGGAACAACGTATGTTGTTATGCGGTTTGACCGATAAAGATCTTCGTAGAATATGTAGAAACCAATATGAGCATCCAGGTTCCGCTATTGGTTATTGATCGGAGATGAGTATCGGTCATGTCTACATAGTTATCGAACCCGTAGGGTCCGCACGCTTAACGTTCGGTGACGATCGGTATTATGAGTTTATGTGTTTTGATGTACTGAAGGTAGTCCGGAGTCCCGAATATGATCACGGACATGACGAGGAGTCTCGAAATGGTTGAGACATAAAGATCGATATATTGGACGGCTATATTCAGACATCGAAAGTGTTCCGGATGATTTTGGAGAAAACCGGAGTGCCGGAGGGGTTACCGGAACCCCCCGGGGAAGTATTGGGCCTTAGTGGGCCTTAGGGGGGAGAGAGGGCAGCAGCCCAGGAGGTGCCTCCCCAAGGGGAGTCCGAATAGGACTAGGGGAGGGGGCGCGGTCCCTCTTTCCCTCTCCCTCTCCCTCTCCTTCCTTCCCCCTTCCCCCTTCCTAATAGGACTAGAAAAGGATGAATCCTACTCCTACTAGGAGGAGAATTCCTCCTCTCCTTGGGCGGACCAAGGGCCGGCCGGCCTCCCCCCTTGTTCCTTTATATACGAGGGCAGGGGGCACCCTAGAACACACAAGTTGATTGTTCCAAGCCGTGTGCGGTGTCCCCCTCCACCATATTCCACCTCGGTCATATCGTTGCAGTGCTTAGGCGAAGCCCTGCACCGGTAACTTCATCATCATCGTCATCACGCCATCGTGCTGAGAAAGCTCTCCCTCGAAGCTCTACTGGATCGTGAGTTCATGGGATGTCACCGAGCCGAACGTGTGCAGATCGCGGAGGTGTCGTACGTTCGGTACTAGGATCGGTCGATCATGAAAACGTACGACTACATCAACCGCGTTGTCATAACGCTTCCGCTTACGGTCTACGAGGGTACGTGGACAACACTCTCCCCTCTCATTGCTATGCATCACTATGATCTTGCGTCTACGTAGAAAATTTTTAAAATTACTATGTTCCCCAACAAAAAATGCATGTTATCTTATAGAATACAGAGAAACACATAAATTTATAAATCATGTGCTCTGAAAAAATGAAAATTGCCAAGCTACTTTCTAAAACTATTGTTTCTCTAATTTATAATTTGATATGATAATAAAAAATATCATGCCAAAAAAAATGCTAAATTGTCATCCTCGTCACAGCAAAAACGTCATGCCAACAATAATAAAAATGTCATGCTCTCAAATAATAAAACTAGGATGCTGATAATGCCCACGCATGTCGTGAGCAACACCCGCCCACACGCCCTATAATACACAGACTGTGTCACGTCACCGCATGAATGCATTTAGGAATCTTTCTGGATTTCTAGTTTTTTTTAAATCTCTTAAATGAAAAATCCGATTGAAGATCCGTTTTCACCATTAAATCCATCGCAACGAGATCTTTGACACTAGATCTCATATCAATATGTTTCGACGACTGTTTTGGGTTAAAAGTTGTCATGCCTATTGCACATGAATTGCCATGGTGTTTACACTAAAGTTGCAATGATATGTTTCAGCTATTTTTCTTCTACCTTTAAAAGTAAATTTGACATATTATAAAGCGAGGAATTAAGAAACTAGACTTGCCATCAACCATAAACTAAAATTGCCATAATACATGCATTTAAAATTGCCATGGTTCATACAAAAAATAACTTCCATGGTCAAAGTACTAGAATTGCCATGGTCAAAATACTAAAATTGCCATGATCTATAAACTAAAATTGCCACATGGCAACTTTAGTGTAAACACTATGGTAACTATAGTGTAAACATCATGGCAACTTTTGTCCCAAAAAAATTTCGTCCAAATATATCAACATGGAATCTAATTATGAAGACCTCGTCGAGATGGATTTAGTGGTTAAAACGGATTTTTAATTGGATTTTTAATTAGGAGATAAAACATTTTAAACCAAAAACCAAAAAGATTCCTGCTGATGTCATCTGTTTTGACGTGGCAAAATGAATGGTAATGGAGGCATTTGAACCATGTTGCTTCGTGTCACACGTGTGTGCGTTATCATTTGGGTAAAACTATCATCATGTTAACAATAAAACTGCCATGCAAAACAAACTGCCATCCTCCTAATAATAAAAATGCCATGTTATTAAAAACATGCATGCTCTTAATCATGAAAGTACCATCGTCTTGACAATAAAAAAGCCATGTTACTAATAATAAAAGTGCCACGCTCTTATTAATAAAAGTGCCATCATCTTAATAATAAAAAGTATCATGTTACTAATTATGAAAATGGCGTACTATTAATAAATATAACTGCCATCCTCTTAATAATAAAATTACATGTTATTAATAATAAAAATGCCATGATTTGAATGATAAAAATGTAACTTTTAAAAACATGGCAAGTTTAGAAAAAATCACCTCTAAAAGCATGGCAAGTTAAAAAATGTGTTTTCTACAAACATGACAACATTGGGATTTATAATGTTCATGGGAAAAATAGGGATTTTTGTTCTCTCAGAAAGGGAAAATTTCTGGATTTTTGAATTGTTTTAGCCGAATTTTCAAATGAAAAAACAAATTTAAAATGATTTAATTTCAAATACATAAAGTTATTTAAGCACATTTGTTCACAAAACCCACTTTAGTTCAAGTGGTAAACGGGCTGCCACTCATGCAGGAGCCACTAGTTCCTTTTGAGAGAAAGAGCATTCGTCCCTGGCAGCAATTCCAGAAAACGATTCCGAAACCAAGAAAAGGCACCGCTTGATCCGACAGCAAACAGGGCATTCGCTGGGGTATCCCCCGGTCGTTGGATAATATTTCCATAAACAAGTGTTACTAAAATGGGATGGATAGATTCACGATTAGAACCCATAATAAATTTGAAACCATTGTAAAATTTCTCTTACCACCATAGTTATGTGGATAGTTGATACTATCGACAACATAAGAAATTCCTAAGCAGCGATCAACATGAGCATTGACGGTGTGCAACCAAGAATCTCAGCACAAGGCTACTCTTTTTGCTATGACGACGATTACATAACCTGGCTACTTTATGTAGTTATGCACAATATAACAGCCCACATAATTTCTTGAAAATTGATCTAGTGAGCATAAGACAATTGATCTAGCAGGCATGTATACTGCATGTTTACTCTTATTGGATTAGTGTCATCGCAGCTCTACTCCTAACTGTATACACAAATTATTTATAGAGAAAAATAAATGTGAATACTTAGCATGTTCGATACACTAAAGATGATGCCCTCGCATTTGTGAGGGCCACTTTGGTAGTTAGAGGAAGAAAATAATAGAGAGTGGTTTTTCTACACCCACCCTTAATGCAACAAATGTTAGAGAGGCTTCCCAATTTTGGTGGTCAAATGACATCCGAGAAGCTCTATACAAAAAAGACAAAATTCTTGAAATTTTCTCAAAATGTACATGCACTGTTTCACCAAAACTTGTAAAAGAAAAATTGTATAGTTTTCCTCGGATGTCGTTTGATGACCAAACGTGGCAAGCTTCTCTAACATTTATTAATAATCATTTTCACAAAGTTTCAGATTTTTTTTGAAATGTTTTGATAGGTTTTCTTGCGTGGGTGCACTACTTTCCCAAAATAATAACACCAATATGTTCCATTTTATTGTATCGGTTTAGGACCATGTTTGACGAAGCGTACAACTAGACGAAGGAAAATAAATTTAGACGGTACAACATGGTTTGAATATTAACTTTGAGCAGTCCACGGTTGAAATCTATCTATACTACATATATACAACGGGATGGAACGTCATTTAGGACCATGTCTGACGACAATGCAAGTCTTGTTTTTGCCCAGTGCAGCACTACACCGAAGAGGATCTCACTGATGGACACAGGCTTCATCAGAGTCTGGACACAATGCAAGACTGCATATGGTCTTTCAACTGCCTCCTCAAGATCTTTCCGGCCGGCGATCTCGGTATGGAGTCGACAAACAGCACCTTGCGCACCTTCTTGTACGGCGTGACCTGCTTGGCTACATGCTCCATGACCTGCGCCTCAGTGACCTTGCTCCCGGGTTGCCTCACCACGAGCGCCATGGGTATCTCTCCTGCCTCTTCGTGAGGATATCTGCAAATTCACTGAAACTGTCAGTACTCCAGGAGCTATATTGGCAATTTGTTTGTTCTTTTTTTCAAGCGTAGTCCGTCGTGAAATCCATCCCGAAATCATTGTTTCAGTGGACTTACGGCATCACTGCAGCGTCGACAATCTCTGGCAGCGATTGCAGGACAAGCTCCAGCTCTGCAGGTGCAACCTACAGTATTCAGTTTAGGACCACGCATGCATGTTTAGGACCACGCATGCATGCATGCGAGCCAAATTATTGCTAGTATATGACAATAATACTTGTTCACGAGCCAAGAGCAGACCTGATAGGCCTTGTACTTGATTAGCTCCTTGAGCCTATCCACCACGAACAGAAACCCGTCCTGATCAATGTAGCAAAGGTCGCCGGTCTTCAGCCAGCCTTCCGAATCGAAAGAGGCCGCATTCGCCTCGTCGTCACCTACGTAGCCTACGCGGACACAGAACGATAAGTGATCTCAGTGCAGCGTCACAACAATATCAGTGAACCGATGGCGATGTGCGCTGTAGGAAGATGTTCGTGGGGCAGGTAACCTGTCATGATGGAAGGACCTCTCACCCACAGCTCCCCTTTCTGCCCGATCGACAAGGGCTCTCCGGTGACGATGTCAACGATCTTCGCCTCGACGTTGTGGGAGATGCGGCCGGAGGAACCTATGCGGGAGCACTCGTCCCGGTCGATCATCAAGGATATGCCCCCAGCCTCTGTTGCGCCATAACCCTGAACCAGATTCACCGGCATATTTTTTTTATCACATATATATACAACATACATTTGGTTCGTCATCTAATATATGGTCAAAGTTCAATTGTGAAGTGTGTGCAAGCCTTATTCATTTGAATTGAGGGAGTGCCTAGTTTGATGTCAAAAGTTGGCTATGTGGGCAAGCAAACAAAAATAACTACCACTAGGTTGGAAGCTATCTTGCTTTGCCAACCTCCCTATAGTAGTCGAATTTTGGCAAGTTTTAGAGTTTCCGAATGATGTTTACCTAAATTTTGGCTACCATGCAACCAAGCATTCTTGGTCACTAAATCTTCACATGGATGGGCCTTTGGCTAGTTATCTAACACAAAATTATTGCCTCAAACAACATTGGATGATAAAGGTTAAGACACTTTATTTTTATTTTTGAGGTGGGGTATTATGGTGTTTCATAATTAATACTGCTGACACCTTTTCACATATCTCACCAGACTATGTTTGACAAGCTCAAATCTGTGATGGCCTTTTTGATATTTGATTCAAACTATAGTAGAATGTCTGCAGACAAATATTAGATAGTTCATGATTTCCCCTTATTTTGTTCCCTAACGCTAGGCATGCAGCGTAAACTTTCCACTTTAAACTTCACCAACGAGCCAGTGGATCCGTCTTCACTTTGTCTCCGCTCCGGCTAGTAGTTTAGGTCAAGTTTTTTTAGTCCTCGCAGGTACAGCTCTCGAGCGGATGGCAGCACTTCCTCTTCGAGTTTGTCTTCCGCGCTTCCTTCCTCCTCGAGTTTGTCCGTTTGGACGTAATCGACGGAGCTCCGCTGTACCACCACTACTACCGCATGATTTTACTATGAGATTCGTGTGATATTTTTTATGTTTGATTAAATCATTTATATGTGCAATAATTAGGGCATATGTAGACCTGCCCTAGACAAACTCAGTGGAAACACTAACCATGCACAGATCCACTTGGGGGAACCGCCGCGGGAACTGCTCCGCCGCCGATCTCGGCAGAGGGGCGCCGCCGCAGATCACCCGCAGCAGACTCGTGAGCCGGCACCTTTCTTTTGTCATCCCCAGCACCACGGGAGGCGCCGCCATGATCTCCGTCACCTCCCACCGCTGCGCTGCCTCCAGCATTCCCCTCAACCCAGCCCGCGCGGCCGCCTCCGTCATCACAACAGTGGTAATCCCCTGCGCCAGCCCGTTGAGCGTGAAGAAGAAACCCATGGTGTGGAACATGGGGGCGCCGATCAGAGTCCTCTCGTTGGCCTTCCTCGACTTCCCCTGCAGGTGCAGGGCACGGAGCCCCACCGCCCTCACGATGAAGCTCCGGTGCGGCACCGCCGCCGCCTTCACCCGCCCGGTCGTGCCGGAGGAGTACAGGACCGTCGCTGTCGCTGACTGGCACACTGCTCCGGCGTCCAGCGGCGCCGACTGGTTCTCGCCATGGTCGCTGTGCAGGAGGGAGCGGAAGTGCGGGGAGTCGAGGAGGGTGGTGGGGAGGCCGGCGGGGAGCTTGCCGGCGGTGGAGGACACCGCGAAGGCGAAGGACGCGCCGGAGAGGCAGACGAGGCGGGACACCTCGCCGGCGGTGAGGGCCGGGTTGGCCGGGGACACGACCGCGCCGACGGCGAGGAGCGCGAAGTAGAGCACGGGCACGTCGAGCCGCGCGGGGGCGAGGACGAAGGCCACGTCGCCGCGGCCGAGCGGCACCACGCGCGACCGCAGCGCGCCCACGAGCGCGCGCACCTGGGACAGGAACGCCGGGTAGGAGACGGCCTCGCCGGTGGCGGCGTCGAGGAGCGCGGGGTGGGCGGGGAGAGGGGACGGCAGCAGCGACAGCGCGAAGGCCGGGAATGTGAGTGGGACGTCGGCGGGCGGCAGCGGCAGCGGCCCGCGGAGGCTGAGGAACGACTTGGTTGCTGCGCAGTAGCCGGTGCGGGCGTCGACGGCGCCGTGGCCGCTGGACGACATTCTCGACCGGGGAACTCGCCCGTCGGTCGAGAGTGAGGCGAGGAGTTGGGAGGGACAAAGGTTAGTGGCGAGGCAGGCTGTCTCGATTGACAAAGGCTGGTCCTGTGTATTGCTGCAGGCAGCGGCAATCGACCAATAATTCATTGGCGGGCTAGTGGACAAGTCACCCGCTAGTAGTACAGCAGCATATCCTCCCTTCTTTTTTTTTTGCGGCAAGCATATACTTCCTTCGTTTCTAAATATAAGTCTTTTTTAAAACATTTTAATATAAACTGCTTTCTATTGAATAATCCTTGTGCATTTTTTTTTTCTGTTTTTATCTTTTATCTCTGTTCTTTTCGCACTGTAGCTCGTCACGCTGTTGTCGTCGACAGCTGTAGGTTAGTTCAGATTATTCAGTAGGCAGTTTTTTTCCTTTTGATAAGAGTAGTTGTTCTGGTCATCGCCCAATGATCCAGGACCGATTCCTGTGGACACACGATGCCGCTCATGGGATGGCGCGAGACTTACGGATCGTGGGGTTTCTGTTGGGTTTCGTAGTAATTTCAAAAAAAAAATTCCTACGCACACGCAAGATCATGTGATGCATAGCAACGAGAGGGGAGAGTGCTGTCTACGTACCCACGCAGACCGACTGCGAAAGCATTGACACAACATAGAGGAAGTAGTCGTACATCTTCACGATCCAACCGATCAAGCACCGAAACTACGGCACCTCCGAGTTCGAGCACACGTTCAGCTCGATGACGATCCCCGGACTCCGATCCAGCAAAGTGTCGGGGAAGAGTTCCGTCAGCACGACGGCGTGGTGACGATCTTGATGTACTACAGCAGCAGGGCTTCGCCTAAACTCCGCTACAGTATAATCGAGGACTATGGTGGCTGGGGGCACCGCACACGGCTAAGGAATAGATCGCGTGGATCAACTTGTGTGTTTCTGGGGTGCCTCTGCCTCAGTATATAAAGGACCAAAGGGGGGAGGCTGGCCGGCCACATAGGGCGCGCCAGGAAGAGTCCTAC